CTTTAGAGTGGAGCTAGGCTGACAACCACCGCATGGCCGAGCATCAAAAGCCGGAGACCGGGGAGGAGGAGAACGGTTGGGGAGGTGACTTCAACCCTTTCGCTGATCCTGAAGAGCGTAGGGTGCTATTTGCTGCATTCGACTCATTCAGGTACGTGAATGGACAGTTGATTACAGTATTTTCTGCCTCGAAACAACCAATTGACATACAATCGCAAAGTTCTGGCTAATATATCCACAGACAATATCGGCGAAATGCGCATATGAATACTACCCATCGTCGACGGCAAGCTTTCTATGCCCTGCCCTCGGCACACTGGCAGATGCTCTCGGAGCCTCCATTCTCCATCCTTGATAACTTCAATAAAGTGGACGATGCCATTGATACCAACGCCGATATCGCCGATGCAATTCTGGCGGTGGGTCTTCACTCATTCGGTCTTTCAGCAAATCCCGACAAAACGGACCCTACTCAATATTGGCATGACGTAGCAACCTCATCAGATGTCAACAAAGCGCATTCCACGATACGCCAGTTCTATCGGGACTGGAGCCTCGAAGGACGACCCGAGAGGAAAGTCTGCTATGACCCCGTTCTTCAGGATCTCCACGAGGAGTTCCAGACACGGCGTGATAGCGGTGAGCAAATCCGTGTTCTAGTCCCTGGCGCTGGTCTGGGCCGTCTAGTTTTTGAGATCTGCATGGCAGGCTATGATGCTGAGGGGAACGAGATCTCCTATCACCAGCTGCTAGCCAGTAGCTGGGTTCTGAATCATACTGACGGACCGGCAAAGCATGCCCTTCATCCTTTTGCATTGCATTTCTCCAATCTCCAATCACGAGCACAGCAACTCCAGCAAGTTATGATCCCTGAGGTGCACCCCGGGTTCGCCATGCAGGAGGCTGCCAGTGCCGGTCACCGCTTAGGTACAATGTCCATGACCGCAGCGGATTTTACCGTATTTTATACTCAGCCCGAGAGCCACGAGACGTTCGATGCAGTAACGACTATTTTCTTCATTGACACGGCGCCAAACCTTATTCGGTACATCGAGACGATCCGACATAGCCTCAAACCAAATGGGCTCTGGATCAACGTGGGCCCATTATTATGGCATTTCGATGACGGCCACTCCCGTAGAGGAAGTGGCTCCGAATACGAGGGGGCTGGAATTGGCGAGCCGGGCAATGTGGAGTTATCCGAGGAAGAAGTGCTGAGCCTCGTGGAGCACATGGGCTTCCGCCTTGAGAAGCGTGGAGCTCGGAAGGCTTGCGGCTACATCCAGGACCCTAACAGCATGCTTCAGAATCTTTATCAACCCTCCCACTGGGTCGCGCGAAAACTGGCAGTTTAATGGGGCTGGTCGCTACAACATACCGCTTTTAAGATCCTGCCGGTTCTGCCGGTTCAAAACCCCATTCAAACAAAATAAACACACCAACTATGCTTCCTAGGCAGGCGGTATATAGGGCGGTATGGGAGTAGCCAATATACCTCGAGGCTAGACAAGGCTGTGTTCCTATTTTTATTTTTCACCTTTGGGGGCCAAACTTTGGACAAAGAAAGAGAGTAATCCAGCTGGGGTATTAGTGTTGGTTCGGTGAAAAGGGGAGACTTGGGAACCTCTATAGTTATACTACCTCGATGTACATAGAATAGAACATGTCTCAAGAACATGTATATACTCCCTACCCCGCGAAGACCTGGGTGCCAAGAGAAACTGTGAGCCTGAATGCATTCGAAATAACAAGAATTTGAATAATTTGGCGATTCACATGTTTATAGCGAAACTACTACTCCGTACTCGATTCTGGTATCTTATAAACAAGGACTATATATGGGGCCACATTTAAGTAGAACTAGTATAAACCAGTTTCTCAGCCTCAACCAGAGAGTCGGGATTTAAATCGTCAATCTTCTTGATCTTCTTCATCTTCTAATAATTTCCTAATTTTAAACTAAATTACTGTAAACTAATTATCTTCCGTGTTGTCATTCTTTCAGTCTCTTTGATCTCCACAATTTACATCCCTCAGCCTCACTTTCCCCCTCTTTCATCTTTCCCCCCCCCTTCCGATTTCTTACTCTTGTCCCTTCCTTGTTGCCTCATATGGACCTCATGAGTTCCCGATTTAAGTCCTTTGGCTTTAGGAACAAAAAATCTCCTCCTAATTCCAACCCGATTGTCCCTCCCACCCCTTCATCACCCCCCTCCAGTTCATCAACAACAAGTCTTCCAATGAACCATCAACAGCCCCAACCCCAGTTAGGCCGACCGCCAAGTTACACAAACAACCGACCAACTAGTCCAATGGCGCATGGTCAACAGCCCCCGCCCATCACCACAAACCTCCAATACAACTCAAATGCTCCCTTGAACGGCCCGCCGGGGTATGGGATGCAGCAACAGCAGATGGCTCCTAGCATTCCACCGTCACTGTCCAACACTCAGTATCCAGGGCGCAACCCTGCGGTCGAAGTTGAGGGTGGTGGCCGGAGCAAGGCCCAACTGATTGTCGGTATTGACTTTGGTACAACCTTCTCGGGTGTCGCATATGCATTTGCGACCAACAACCAGGCCAGCGAGGATATCATCACGGAATGGCCCGGCGCCGGAACCCACGCAAAACAAAAGGTGAGCGCGAGTTAACAAGTACACCCCAGGAACGCTAGTCTGACAACGATCTGCTCTCCTAGATTCCCACCGTTCTCTACTACGACCAATACCAAAAGGTGGTAGGATGGGGCCCCGATATTGCCGACGCTCTCGCCCCAACCGGATACCCCAAGCCCCAAGTGCAGAAGGTGGAGTGGTTCAAGCTCCAGCTGATGCTCTCTGGAAACACCTACATTGATCCCATCAACCTGCCCCCCCTCCCCCCGGGAAAGTCCGAAATCGATGTCGCTGCCGATTACCTCTTCAAGCTACGACAAGCCATTCGCGCTAACCTGCAAAAGGCCCTGGGAGAGGTGTTCACGCGCGAGGAACGCAATATCCGTTACTATCTGACGGTACCGGCTATTTGGAACGACGCCGGCAAGGCTGCGACGCGGACCGCTGCTATCCAAGCTGGCTTCTTGCGCGACGAGAACGATAACCGTCTCACGCTAGTCTCAGAGCCCGAGGCAGCCGCCTTGTTCTGTGCCAAGAGCGGACTGCTCAACTTGAAGGTGGGCGATGCTATTTTGATTGTGGATTGTGGTGGTGGTACCGTGGATTTGATCGCATATGAGGTGGAGGAAGAGTCGCCTTTCAGTGTGATGGAATGTACTGCCGGGTCTGGTGACTCGTGTGGTTCGACGGCACTGAATCGCAATTTCAGTAACATCTTGCGCGCCAAGATCCGTAAAATGAAGCTGCCGGATGGGTCTCGGACTGCGGGCAAGGTCTACGCGAAGTGTATCATGGACTTTGAGAACCGTATCAAGGCCGACTTCCGCAACAACGGGCAAAAATGGGCAGTGGACGTGGGTATCGAGGCCGACTTCCCCGATGCTGGTATTGAGGAAGGCTACATGACCTTCACGAACGAGGAGATCCTTCAGTGTTTCGAGCCTGTCGTGAACCGTATCCTCGAGCTGGTGCGCAACCAGATCATCGCCATTCAAGCACAGAACCGTCTGCTCCAGGTAAGAGCATCTCATCCTAGTCTCAATGCAGTGCTAACAGTTGTGTAGAACGTTCTGGTCGTGGGTGGATTTGGTGCTTCAGAATACCTCTTCCAGCAGATCAAGCTCCACGTGCCGCCACAGTATCAGACAAAGGTGGTCCGCCCGATGGACTCTGTGGCGGCCATTGTCAAGGGCGCAGTCACCGCAGGTATCACCGAGCGGGTCATTACGCACCGTGTGGCACGTCGACACTACCTCATGGCCACGCTTCAGCCATTCAAGGAGGGCTATCACCCTGAACAGTACCGTGTACCGAGTTTGGATGGCCGCGATCGATGCAAGTACACCCGTCAGATCTTCGTCCAAAAGGGAGAGCGTGTCAGGATTGGCGAACCAGTCAAGGTCAGCTTCTTCCGTCAAGTTGCACCTGGCGCTACCCTCATGTACGAGGACGTGCTGTACGCCTGCGATGAGGACGTCTGCCCCGAGTATACCAAGGATCCACGTAAGTTGAGAGATTGCATTTTCCTTGTACAAATTACTAATATTCCCTAGGCATCAAGGAACTCGTCACACTCACATCCGATCTCTCTCGTAAGAACCTCGAGACCGACTTCGAGCGCATGGATACACCCCAGGGCATCTTCTACCGTGTCTACTTCGATATCTACCTTACACTAGACGGCAGTGAATTCAGCGCTGAACTGGTCTGCCAGAATGAGATCATGGGCCGCTGCCGTGCCAAGTTCCGGTGATCTACCAACTTTCGCACACGGAAAACACATAAAACACAAATGCGCGCGCTGTATATATATCCCTCCTGGACGAGGCCCACGACATCATCGGCGTACAGAAGTGCGGCCATGACTTCAGTTTTATTGATTTGGAGGACCCTCACATTGGTTTTAGATCGGTGAACTGGTCACCGCTAGCCAGATGGCTGGGCATCACTGTTATCTGTGTCGATTCGTGTGGAACCCTGCCGTTCCTAAATATATGCCACAGGTTTGTGGAGCCATCTGTTTTGCCTACTGGTTTCGTTGATGGTTCCTTTCGTGTTTTCTTCTCTCCTTTTTTCTTCCCGCCTTCTTAGATACCTCTTTACTACCGTGTTTTATTTGAATGATAATAACGAGCTGTGGTTCCATCTGACTTATAATGTCTAGCTTTATCTACATATTCATACCATGTACCCATAATTATCAGGTATGAAGCAGATGCCATGAACAAACATATCATAAAGTTCATCCATCCCGCGTGTTAATCTAGACAACAATTGAAAATTGTCAACCTCGTTCCCCATTTTTAAAATAGATAATAGAAAATCATGAGAAATAAGTCCCAAGAGACAAAAAGTGATAGTGGTAATACATCCAATTCATCCTAGTCAAGTCTCCAGGTTAATGCTCCGACCAAACCGCGCATAGAGTGCAACCTTCAGCTGCTGCATCTCCTCACGCAGCTCACCAAGCGAGTCCTCCAGCTTGGAAACATCTGCGTCTATCTTCTCTGTTGATGTTGAGAGCATTCCCTGCGCGTCTGATAGCGGTAGTTGGAAGAATGAGTCGCCGATTTTGTAGCTGTGAGAGTTGTTAGTGATGGCTTCTTTCTTTTTTTGCTCTTTTCTTGGTCTCTTCGCAATACTCCAATATGAGATAACGGAACATTTATCGAAAAAATAAACAAAAGCAAAAAAGATGGGAAGGGTATTCCTTACGGCACAAGCTCATCTTCATCAGCAAGCTCCAACTCCATCGAAACCTCTTCTAAATCCTCCTTATCCTTCTATAAACCAGTTAGCAAGAGATCCAATACATGGCAGAAAACAAAATCCTCAAAAGTCCAAAGTCCATACCTGCTTCCCCTTCAACTCCTCCTGGAGCACGGTCTCGCGCTGATGCAACCGACTGAACCGGTTGATCTTCTCCTGATCCTCGCGACGGACTTCATTCTCATCATTGGCTGATGTCTCGTCCGCTTTTGTGAGCTGCGCGTTGATCCGATTAGCTTGCGAGCTGGGCTTTGGTGGGGTTTGTCGCGTTTGAGCTTGGTGGGGGTTGGGCTTACCATGCGCGGCTGCACCATTTTGGCTGTCTGGTGGGTGGTTATTTGGTTGGGCTTTGGGATTTGTCTGTTCTTTCGGGTCTGGGATTTGTTCTGTCCTCGTTGCGGGTTGGTTGGTTTGCGTGTTTGATATCGGGTTTGAGTGGGTGGTCCGTGCGTGGCGATGAGCTGGATGAGGTTGGTGTTTGTAGGGATAGGGATCTATACAGTAAATATATAGGGTGCAGAGTATTAATAGGCCTTATTTAGGCTTCTTTTTCGGATATATCGGTTCTTCTATTTTGCTTCTATCTTCTTTACATCCATACATCGGGTGGTAGGCCGTCGGGTACTGAGGTGACATCTGGGGTGACATCATAGGCTACTTTCTCTGAAGAATATAAAAAAGATTTTAAATAGTCATTGAACTATTCAACTGCAGAGATAGCTTCAAATGCTTCGAGGCATCTTCATTCCGAGTTGAGTGAAGCACATTTTAGTGCCAAAACACCGCCACCGGAGAAACGAAACACCTCCGTAGGAACATCCCCGTCATCGTCACTTTTCAACCTCACAGGGACCCCGAACTCGGTAACCAGTTCTCCTCCATTTTTGACTAAACTGCACTGGTTACACTTGTCCTGTGTACAGCTGTCCCTCGTGACCATCTCCACTTGAGCTATCGAGCTCCGTTCGCGCGAAAGCCTCAACCCAGCCTTCACCCGCGTCCTTCCACGCTACCCATCGCCACCTAAATACCCAACGGCACATTGACCAAAATGCGAATACAATCAAGCGGAGTTTCACTCCTCCTCTCCACCCTCCTGTCGAGCCTGGCATCCGCGTCCGGATTCGACTGCGCGCACATCAAGCTCGACAATTACAAATACGATCTCAGTCCCCTAAAAGGCGTTCACGAGGTGACCCACACCGCGACGACAGATGACTTCGTGACGAATACGACCTACCGATTGAATATCTGCAATATCCTCGGCGGCGCTGCTCGGTACGGCGATGCGACGTGCGGCACTAGCAAAAACGGTACGTTCCAGGCTGAGATGACGCGACCATGTTGAATTGGTCTTTTGCTTGGGGTGTTCACACTAATTGATGTATTTCTCTAGTTTGCGGATTCGTGCACCGAGTAGCGAAGGACGGAAATGGCGGCTCTACGTTCGGTTTCCCGATCGTTGGGCTCGACCCCGTTGGCCAGGGCTCGAAGAACCCAGAACTGAAGCGATTGAAGGATCTCGACCCGGAGACCGAGGGACTACGCGTTAAATTGGAAGGCGGCTCGTACAAGGGAGATGGCAATGACCAAAAGGCCAAGAAGGCAGGCGCTATCATTGACTTCCAGTGCGACCACGAGCGATCTGGACTGGAGGGCCTGAATACACTTGGAGATGACGTTGAGACGAAGGAGCGACGACGGAGAGCGGATGGTGAGGAAGGCGGCGATGTGCCGTCGGGCAACAGCACCAGTAGTCTGCAGTTCAAGAGCTTTGGTCCGTCGGATGATGATACTTACATCCTGAGATTGGATTGGCGCACAAAGTATGCCTGCGATGAGTACGATAAGGAGAAGGGTGATACTCCCGGATCTAAGAGCTGGGGCTTCTTTACCTGGCTGCTTATCATGTGAGTTTTTCTTCATTTTTAGGAGCCTCATTTTCTTGCGGCCTCCGCATTAAATTGCCCTGCTAATCATTCTATTCAGTGCCTTCCTCGGCATCGCCGCCTATCTTATCTTCGGCTCCTGGCTCAACTACAACCGTTACGGCGCCCGTGGCTGGGACCTCCTCCCTCACGGCGACACTATCCGTGATATCCCTTACCTCTTCCAGGATTGGCTCCGTCGTGTGGTCAATACTCTGCAAGGAGCGGGCTCGCGCGGTGGCTACAGTGCGGTATGAAGGAACTTAGCTTGGATGGACTGGTTTCTATAGTGGTTTGTACTTTTGGATGAAGATACCATATCTTCTTTTTCTTGCTGGGCTGTTTCGGCCGCGGTTCAATGCCTTGCTTGCAGGTTGTGTATGTTTCTTGATGAGTTTTGGCGCTAGATGAGGTGTTTATATGCTTGGCCATAACGAATGATATGATTTCAGGCCAGTTATTACGATCTACGCGTCCTTTACGCTAGAGTTACTTGAGTCCTAGAATGTTGTAACTTAGGAGGCGGCATTGCATCTGCCCATGCTTGCGCCGATCACCGAAGATTGCTAGTGAGACTGTTGCCTGTTGTTGACGTGTCAGTCTTCGGTTTGTATGGATACATCACTCCCAGACATTTGTGGAAGTCAACGATACCTCAGGGTATGGCACAGCCTGAAAAGCCAAGGCTCTCAAATAGCAATCCACCCGCAATCTACTCGTCATGATCTTCTGTAATATCCACATTTCCGCCGAAGAAGTCTCAAGGTCTTCTAGACCCTCGATCATCGAATTGGTAGGAGCTCATGCAATTCAAGTCTACAGCTTCCTCCCAACGTCTAGAGCTGTCTAAAACCCAGATAACTAAGCAGTCCCAAGTCACCGCACGGGCAGGCAACAAACAAGCTTACGCTACTCCGTACGCTTTGAAGGATCCCGTGCCTCGGTCCCTATAGTCCACTCTTGTTCTGTCCTCTGACTCGTATCAAATGCCTTGACTCTACCCACCCTCGCTCATGAGGACCGTCAATGGTTACTCACTAACCACTAAAGAGGCCTTATGCCTTCTCAATGAACATTCCCTCTCATTGACTTTATTAAAGTACACCGTGTTTGGCATACCATAAGGCTAGCCCTGTAAAGTCTAGACTTCCTAATTTAGAAATAGCTACTCCGTAGTTACGGAGTATAGTATTGATCAGGCGTACCTTCTGGCCAAAATGCATGCAAGTGGCTCCGTTATCACCGGCCTTCCCACGGTACACTGTACTTCGTACTCATTGGCGAACTTCAGGATCCGGCCTCTCGGAAACTTGGCACTTCATTGACAACAGCCCAGTGCCAAGACGACAATGAGACTGATCCACCTTCGATCTACGCTTTATCCCCTTAATCTGGTAGTCCGGACCGATATTCGGACTCCGATTATGTCCAACGATTCGATTTTTATGCTGTTGGGTATGCAGAAAGAGTAAAGAGGAGCTAGTAGCTCGGGGAGATTCGCAGGGAGCTCGTGAAGACTCGAAACATTGATTAGGGAGACTCCGAATTCCATTAACTAGAGTTCCTAAATTGCCTAGATCGTGAATCCTAATCGGGCCCTGACGAAGTTATCTCAAAAGGAAGACCCTTGATAGAGAATATAGCGATGTAGAGATGGTGTAAAATAGGTGTCTTCTTCCTGATTGGCTAGGCCTTCGTCCTAATTCGGTAACTCGAGTTTTACGAGTCTTCCCGATATTAAAACCAAGAAAGGGGCAGATTTTGCGTGCCAGAATGGTAATTGCCAAGCCGAAGAATTGCGTCGGCGCTCGAGCTTGCAAGGTCGGTGGATTATATTGACAAACGAGATAGGCGGAGTTGCCTGGGTCAGCAGGATATTGTGCAAGATCAAAGGGATATCTCCGTGCCAATTCCTTGGCATTCGGGTTTCTCGCTCCAATACCCGAGCCCTAATTGACGTATCGAGGGTCGGTAGTTGTGCGTAAGAACTGATCGTCTCTCTCTTGCATACCGCAGACCCTGATATTGTTGTACGTCGACTTACGCGCACAGATATACATCCCTTGTGCAAACAGGGTATATCAAAATCCCAAGGTACAACAATAATGTACCGGTAACAGACGGAAGAGGCTTTCTCCGTTCATCTCGAGCCACGACGATCATTGCCTTGTTTCGAGCCCTGCAAGTCACAGCTTCATTTGACAGAGCCAATCAGATGAATGGTCAAATATTCTGCAGGACTTTTCAGTGGTCAGTGGTAGGGCTGTTAAGTTCGCTTGAAAATTAAAAATATCATTTCAATTTCAATTTCAACGCTAAAATATCGTTTCATTTCAAAATGGGTGTATGCCTCAGGCGTAGACCCACTCTTAGTAATCCACCAATTAGATACCTTGAATTTTCAGAGAGCCAATAAGATTATCATAGCTTACTCTAAGCCTAATTAGGCCGAATACAGGCTCTTACCTACACCGCCTAGTATTCTTCTCAGACCACGTAGAGTGCTATAGCATAGGTCAAAAATATATTTCTGGTAATCTAGGTAAGAAAATGCTCCCTGTAGCCCCTATATCTAGCCACCCCGTCCTGCTTTAGGCACTCTTATATAAGGCCGAACTATACGCCGACGACATCTAATTATCCCACCCTATATCTCTAGAAGACTTATAGTCGAAGAGTCGCTCTGAGTACCACTATCGCCAGTACTACTATCGCTAGCACTACTATCGCCAGTACTACTATCGCTAGTACTACCACCGCTAGTACTATCGGTACTACCGGTAGGAGTATAGGGACTATTATCATTATTATTACTCTAGTCGTTACTCTCGCTATCTTAATGGTTTGGCGGGTTTATAAAGGGACCGTATCGCTGTGCGTGAGGACCAGCCTCTAAATAATCTATAGGGCAGCGTACGCGGTAGAATTTCCTTCCCTATCGTTACCTAAAGCAGGCATTGCAGCTGGCGATACCTTTAAGTCAGTCACAGAACCAGCCTACTAAGGTATGGTCACCTCTACGGCCAGGCTTAAGCGCGAAACGCAGTCGATACCATTACCTTAAAATCACTAGGCGTATAATCGTATTCTTACCCGCCACAATTCCGCCGTGACTTCTCTCAAGCCTTAGACTAAAAGCCTTAGTCTAGGAAATGAGCTTTCTGACTCTGAGTCTACTAGTGGGAGTAGGTGTGTTATAATAAGTGTAAAGCGTCCTTATAACTTGTGTAACTAAAAATTTACTGCCAGTTTTTCTGCCGTTTTTTTCTGCCTATATTACAATACATTACCAATATATTACTAGCGCCTTGGCGTGAAACAATTGAAAATATATTTTTAATTTTCATGAAAATTAAAAATATGTTTTCAATTCAAGATTTTGAAAT